TTGTTTTAGCGTTATCAATGTTTATCATCTAATGTGCATCTACTTCTGCGCTTATCTCTGCTGCAAAGGGAGAAACTGACGATTTCGTTAAAGCTGGAAACCTAATTTTTCAGTTATATACAATGATGTCCAATGTTTTGAACAGTTTTTCTAAGGCAGCATCAAATTTACTGATTTGTTGGTCACAAGTGTCAAGTTAAAATGCGGCGTTGCCATAAAAAATAAAAGAATGTAACAGGAGGAAAATGACTCCATGTAATTATGTACATCATGAAGGTGAAATCAACGGATCAGTAAGAACAATGCTTATTTCAAAACTATGTGATACCTTCCTAACCAGGCATTCGGCTGTTTACTGTAGGATATATAAAAACCATCGGGTCACAGCTGTCCCTTTCTTTTCAGACAGTAAATTATGATTTACTGCGCTGCGTCACATCTTTGGACCTAGCGCGATTTTTTTGGCATCATTTATGTTTACTTGTACATAATACGCTATGTTAGAATAATCTTTATATTCCGCTCGATCTCGTGCCTCTGCTAGGCCTGGTAGCAATTTTCTTCAGCAGCGCTCATTTCTTATCATAACATTACCACAATATTACACCTATCAGTCTCGAATACTTCTCACAAGTTACTTAGATGCTCGTTCAGTGACTTTCAGGTTCGTCGTTAACAGTCGTTGTAAGACTGAATCTTAACGAATCAACTGGTAGTATGGTGGCACAATGCCTGAGGTCGGTTCTGAACTCGAACATTGGAAGTGGTGAGTTTTATTCCTGCGAAGGGCAACCTTTATCTTTCTACGAATCCTCTTGAACAAGAAATTTACTACAGAGTAGCAAACTGTTGACTTTCTTTCTTCAGAGCCTGATAAATGAATACTACTATGATACAGCGTGGGAAAAAAACGAGAGGATACAGACTATGATTGTCACATTGGTGCTTTCAATCCTGTTTTCAAAAAAATAAAGCACTCCTCGCTGATGAGATGGGAATAGAGAACAGCGATCCCATCATTAATTTCGTGAGAACAAGGGTGCTAGAACTGGCCCCAATGCGCAATAAACAGGAAATCAGACGAACATGTAGCCGTGAATAATGTGAACGGCAATATAATGGCTGAAAATAGACCGCAAAACGTGAAGATAGAAATGTGACGTGACAAAAGCACGCCGCCATTAAATAGGAATTTTTAAAATTAGAAGCCGTCGCTGGTTTCTTCCAATGCCGAGAGGTGATCTTTTCTTTACATGAATTCGTATAAATAGTTGTCAGTCGTTGCTGTTCTGGATCATTCGCTGAATTACAGATCAGTAGAATAATTCATTTACGATTCCAGCTAAGACAGGGGATAACATAATATGCTACTATTGAATTAAACTTTTTGTGTGGCCAGAAAAGACTGGAGATGATTTTGTTCAAGGCTCCAAGGAGAGTAGTTACCTTAATTTGTTTGAGTTCATTCACTAACAATCTCAATACTTAATGTGCCCATTTCTGCTTTTTAGCTATGCTGATAGAAGATCTTGCTGGTGACCTTGTCAATGCTGTAAATGTTGAATTTTCAATCATTATTATAGTCAACTTGGAACCAAGACAGCGGAAGGAAAAGAACTTACCGTAACTCAGTCCTGGTTACGGCAATACAAGTTAACATGTGGCCACCTCCATCACTTCGAACACATATTACCATAACAAAATTGCATACCACATTATGAATGGTATTGGTGCAGGTCCAGACGTAGTCGTCATGTATGAATGGCATCGCCCACACCAACACGTACAATGCTAGTACGCCTATGCTGTATGAAATCCATCCACCACGTTGGGACAACCAAGAACAGTTCGGATTTTCTTCGCTGTGAGCGACGCCGACGTTCATTTACGTGTTGTGTCAACTTTTCTAAAACTAGTATTGTAGTTCATAGTTTAACAATCATGCAAGTCCAACTGGCGACAACGTATGAAAAAGCGACGCGTTTCAACAATAATACATTTAAACTTGTTAAAAAAACGATCAAATGCTAGAAGCATCCGCTTCTGCGTCTTATGTCAGTCAGTCGTTCGTTCGAGAACCAACTTCAGGTTTCCAACCGACAATATTTTTAGCGCATTTTCTACGCTTAAGTCATGAGGTTACTTTGGAAAACTAGTAATTATCACTCAGTATGACATTCCTTTCAGAAGTAGTTAGCTTAATAAAAACCATCGTCTCGTCCCTGTAGCTGGGAGTGGTCAACGACCAAAGTACGGGATTTCTCGACAGGATGAACAACGGTTGAGCTTAATCCCCTTTAGCCGCTACGGTGGCCAAGAAGATTTGTGGTGAACCCAGAAACGATCGGCCAACAATGCCTTGGTGGATAATTATATAATTTCTAACTAGTTCATGTAACCATTTAACAGGTGGGAAGCGGCTACTACTGCTCAGTCGGGTAGAAAAATTAGCTCACCTGGGTAAAAGTTAATGGAAGCTTAAGATTCACAAACAGGCACCTATTCACATTGGAATAAGGTAGTTAGTCTACAGCGCTCTACAACAACCTTGATTAAAGGAAACAGAGTATAAAGTAGTAGTCAACCAGAAGAAATATGAATTTAAACTTCTGCCCCGGCTTTCTAGCCGATGGCTCGTTAACGCGACCATCTGACGACATTCTTCTAATTGGCGCAATAAGCTCGATCGACTACTTGCACTGATGATGAAGCAATCAAACAATGAGAATCTAACTAGCCCGTGACGGCCATTCCGAAGGTTCTGAGATACGTAGTCAGTGAATTTTATTAAATTAATCGTATATTAACCTTTTCAACGTGTCAATCAATTCCAATCATCTTCATCTTCCCTTCAGGTCGATAGCAACGCGATTTTACGGTCGCAAGCCATGTCGCACAACGCCTCGAACCTTTCCAGAGAGCAACACAGATCAGTTTCAGAATGTGGCAATAAAACAAAGTCGTCCGCAACAGCAACCTTCTCGTTTTCACATCTACTACACTGATCCACTCATCGCTTTGGCTGCTCCTGATAATTCTATCCAAGTGCAATACAAATAAGAGAGGAGAAAGAACGTCGCCTTGGCGGAGACCAGTATCAACGCTGAGTCATCGACCTAACGCCATTTACTCCGACCCTGCACCTGCTAGCAGAACATAGTGATTCAATGACCCGTAGCAACTGGCCATTGACTTCGTATCTTCGCAGGCATGCCCGCAGACCGTTGCGGGAAATCCAATCATACGCCTTTTCTAGGTCAACAAAACACATGTACACCGGACGGGCGTACTCCCAAGATTTCTCAACAATCTGCCGCAGGACAAATATATGGTAGGAGGAGCTTCAACCAGGCCGGAAGCCACACTGCTCTTCTTGTACCTTGGAATGAGTTATTCCGCGGCACCTCCGTTCTAGCATCTTTGCGTAGATATTACCTGGGAGGCTCAATAACGTTATGCCCCTATAATTGGAGCATTCCATGTAGGTCTCTAGTCTTGAACATGGGTACAATAGCCCCCATTCTGCAATCTGTTGTTCTTCCTCGCAGTCACTGCCGTTTTACAGACACGTATAAGCCAGCATATGCCTTGTACGCCTAACGCTTTGAGCACATCAGAGTGGATTTCATCAATTCCAGTGGCCTTTGCACTTCTCAAGTTTTTCAGAGCCTATGATGACGTGTGATTTCTTCCTCAGAAATAGAAATACCCGTCCCCTGCTCCTCTACAGGCGAGTCTTCCTGCGATTGCTCTGGGTTAAGAAGTTCCTCAAAGTACTATCTGCATCGCCGAAGAATGTCGTGATCCTTGGTAAGAGGGTGTCCAGACCTGTCCTTTAAGACCCTTAGACTGTCCTTCTATTCACTTCGGAGCCGGCGGATGGTC